CAATTTCAAATCAATTCAATTCACTTTCTCATCGACTTTGATTTGAATTACATATCATCACAACTTTAATTTTAATTTTATCTCATCCACTCTCAGTCTCAATGAATTCAAAGAAGTGTTGTGGTCACATGACTGACACGACTGCGGCACAGCCATTTCTCACGATCCATCTAACAAAACTCTTTCACGTTGTATCTGAAGTTCCACATCACTTGTGGAACCCAGTTTGTTGTTTCTTAAGCTTATGCGTCATTGTATTCCATGTTCTTCACTTTAGGTTATGAGCCCGCGTTACCGATCCTGACGAACGGCGAACCTACGAATGAACACGAGAAGTAGGAACTACGCTACGAATCCACGTTCTCCACCGAAAAGACGCAAACGAACAGCAAAAAAGAAAACGAAAACTGAGCCTGAGCTTGTTTTTCCTTCCCTGACCGATTTACCACCATTACCAGTATCCCCACTTTTCACACCTTTCTCAGATCTTCCTCCATTACCTCCTTCTCTGACATACACTTTACCGTCTCCAACCTTATCTAAATCTAAAAATCCTGAAAATATTGTTTTATCAATCCCATTCAAACCTACATCACCTGTACTGAACCCATCTAGTTCACCACCTTTGCCTCCCAAATCGCCCATTAGCCCTTTATTTCTTGAACCGTCTGTCGCATACGAACTCAGTACGAACCTTGTCGAACCTACGTCTGAACTCAATACCTCCTTTATTGAATCTACGTCTAAGTCTATTATTGAACCTACGTCAACACCTATTGAAAACGTATCTCCGATATCAACTATATCAGAATTAGCATCTGGATTTGCTGGCCTTAACTTTGAATCAAATACGCCTATACCGACGAACACTAGACCGATTTCGCTTCTTTATTACCCTTCTTCTCTATCTGAAACTCCATTCAGAACATCCGAAACGATATTTCAGCCTGATCCAGTACGCCCAGTAAGACCAGTAACAATGTCGATCCCCTCTACGTTAACCCCAGAACAATGTGCTCTAGACGAAATCAATCAATCCATCAGAAACATCGGAAATAACATTCAATTCCCTCATCTCGAGAAGAATGGATCAAACTTCATCGATTGGAAGAAGAGCACTGTTCGAGCGATGAAGGCCATGATTCGGATCAATAATTATTGGGATTCTCCTCAACCTTTGATTACGTACATTGACACCCAACGAGACAAACTAGCCAACTTAGTCATAGCGAATACGATTCATCATGACCTGAAGAATGTCACTGATCCTGCTGATAACGCTCACAAGGCGATGCAAGCCCTGCAACGTCACTTCAATCGTGGGGGTCGTACCAATCAGTTCGCTTTATTCAGTCGCCTTATCAATCACCACCTTGACTTAAACGAAACGGATATCATTGCTCACATGTCTGCCATTGACGCTACAATGTCAGAATTAGAGTCTACAGGTTTTACTTGGACAACTGACTCACTTAAAGGACTACTCTATCAATTACGTATGCCCGCTGAGATGACGAAAGAAATCAATAAAGAATTAGATAACAAATATGATGACAACAAACCGAATTTTAAAATCGAAGATATCAAGAGTGCAATTCAAATTCACCTAACCAGAGAAAAGACTGCGTCTGAAACCATCTCAATAAATAACCTATCGACGTCAATTGAAGCCTTTTCTCTACGAACGCCTCAACGTCTGCAATCCCACAATCGTCCAAACACTCCGGTTCGTTTTATGACTCCACCTAACAGATCGACTCAATTCCAATCACCTTATAGAAGCACTCCAATGAGCGCTGATCTCAAAGCTCGCTGGAGACGAGGCCCTGAACCTATCACTCACAAGAACGAAGCACGATTAGCGAGTGAAAAAAAACCTTTGTCAATTCCTGTATCGGCACATCCGAATGTCAAAGCTGGCATTATCCAATGTTTCTTCTGTGGACAATGGGGTCATAGTTACAGAGACAATAACTTCAAAGCGTGCAAGGTCTTTATGAACAGGGGTGACAGAACGGGTGCTGCGTATAACGACTGGCGAAAGGTAGAAAATGGGTTATCTTACAGCTTGGATGCTCTCTACCCTAAGACGTACAAATCACCATCAGTCAATGTGAACTCACTCGAAGCAGATGCATCTACTTCATCACCTCTCGTGCACGCGTCGGCTATGTCATTAAGCTCTGAAGGCATCGGTTTACCTGATAATGAAAGCGATGTCCCGACCGAGTATCTAACTGAGTACTTATGTGATGGGGGAGCAACGGATGCTGTAAGCAATGACCGTTCTCTGCTTACCAATTATCAACCCCTTCCTACTCCAATTCCAGTTCATACAGCAGCTAATGATTCAAATGCTGTAATTGTGGGAAAAGGTGAACTACCAATAGTAACTGAAGATGGCAGCACAGCAATAATCGATGATGTTTACTACTGTCCAAAAGCGACTACGACCATCATCTCACCGGGAGCGTTAATTGAGAAAGGAGCGAAGATATCAATGGATGAGAAGAATAATTATCAAATCAAATTGAAATCAGGGAAGATTATCTATGCAGTTCACAAGAACAGACAATGGTTCATCAATACACGTAGAAGACCAAAAGTTACTTGTAATACACCCCTTCCTTCTGTTTGTGCAATACAAGCTACTGCAGTTCTTTCACGTTTGTGGCACAACCGCTTCGGTCATGTATCCATGAGGCGCATCAAGAGACTTTTCAAGAATAGTGCATCTTATGGTTTGCCACCGTTGAGACCATGTCATGAAATAGCATGTGAAGACTGTCTGAAATGCAAGATCACTCGTAACAGAGTACTAGGCTCAACGGATCGTGAACCTAAGTTACTTGATGTTGTTGTTACTGACGTCGCAGGACCTTTTACTCCCTGCATGACAGGGGAGAAACTGATGGTTACCTTTCGAGATGTAGCAACAGGATACACGGAAATCGAAATTATCAAGCATAAATCTGAAGTCTCACAGAAGTTGATGAACGTGATCAAAAAATGGGAACGTCAAACAGGCATCAAAATCAAGACAGTGAGATCAGATCGAGGAGGTGAATACATAGGAAGTACACTTGAAAAATGGCTTAAAGATGAAGGTATAACTCACGAATTCTCAAATCCTTATGAACCTGAACAAAACGGGAATGCTGAGAGATTGAACAGAACGCTAGGAGACATGGCTAGAACTTTATTATCTTACAGTCGTCTACCAAATCATTTCTGGAATTACGCCTACCTCACATCCGCCTATCTATACAACCGACTCCCGAATACGCTCACTGCTGATAAAACCCCATACGAGTTATTTCACGGCAAGAAACCGAATCTTGATATTATTCGAACTTTTGGATCAATTGCCTATGTACATGTCAACGCTAACCAGCGAGCACCTGGAAAACTAGAGGATAGAGGACGTCGCTGCACAATGATTGGTTATGCCGAAGGGGGAAAAGGATGGTTGTTTTATGACCCAGCTTCTAAGACGATCATAGTATCAGCCGTAGCGAAATTTCCGTATGAAGATATTATCAAGAATAGCGGAGAAGCACCCAATAAGCCCACTGCTATAACGTCATCAAAATCTTTAAATCGAATCATGAATGAAGACTTACCTGACAAAGGAAACTTGAAGCACATCCTCAACGCTCTGAAACTAGGAGAATTCAATACTGAACTCTTGATAGACAAGCAAGACGTAGCAGCAAAACATGCATTAGATGGGAATGATTATCTCAAATTACTAAAACCACCAATGTCATACGCAGAAGCCATGAGATCGAAGGAAAGTGAAAAGTGGAGGGAGGCTTGTGATGCGGAGATGGGGATGATGGATAAGATGGGGGTATGGAAAGTAGTTGACCGACCATCTAATTTAGTACCGATCGCCCTGAAGTGGGTTTTTGCTTATAAAAAGGTTGATGATGAAGGAAATCCTACGAAGTTCAAATCAAGATTAGTTGCAAAAGGATATAATCAAAGAGAAGGTATTGATTACACCGAAACCTTTGCTCGGACCGCAACGTTTGCTGGCCTCAGAATAATGTTAACTATAGCTGCACACCAAAACTGGCCCGTCCATTCATTTGACATCACATCTGCTTATTTACATAGCGCCATAGACTCGCCAATCTATTTATCACTGCCAACCGGTTATATGTGTGAAGCCCGGAAGAAAAATCAAATATTAGAGGCAATTAAAGCTTTATACGGAACGAAGCAAGGTGCCAGGTGCTGGTGGAAACATTTTGATTCAATCTTGAAAGCTCTAGGATTCACAGCAAGTCAATATGATCGATCTTTATACTTCTATCGCCGTAATGATGAAACTGTAATTATATGGCTGCATAGCGATGATGGTGGAGTGACAGGAACTAGTGAAAAATCGTTGTTAGAGATAGCTGAGAAGTTGAAGGAGAAATTATTAATCAAGTGGGAAACAAATTTAGATCAAATTGTAGGAGTCAACGTTAAGAGAGAATCTGATGGAAGCTTCACTTTATCACAGCCAGGCCTAACAAAAAAGATATTAAAATCATTCTTACCAGATGAAAGAACAGCTAAGACCCCGATGAACGTCCAAAAGATACCTAGCTCACCTAATGATGATGAAGAACGTGTAGACACTGATCGATACTTATCTGCTATTGGAAGTCTCAACTACTTATCAGTGGCTACACGACCCGATTTAACTTACACGGTAAACTATTTAGCAAGATTCTCATCAGATCCCCGACGTCAACACTGGCAGGCCATCGAACATGTAATGAGATATTTGAACACAACAGGTGTCAAGAGTTTAAAAATCAAACCTCTGAAAACGAAAGTCAACACGCCAATTCACACTTATGTTGATGCTAACTGGGGTGGAGAGGGAGCCAGGTCATCGCACGGTTTTATAACATACTTTCTCAACTGTCCGATTGCATGGACCTCGAAACGTCAGACGTGTGTGGCATCGTCAACGTGCCATGCGGAATACATGGCATTAGGCACAGCTAGTAGAGATGCAATATGGTTACACAATTTAATTGAAGACTTAACGGGTCAAGGCAATATTGTTAACATGCATTGTGATAACACTTCAGCAATTCATGTATCAAAAGACAATTCTTCCAATAAAAGAACTCGACACACTGACAGAGAATTTTATTACATCAATGAACAAATATATAAGGGGAGAATATTCTTACATTGGATAGATACAAAATCACAACGAGCAGATATTCTTACAAAACCTTTAGGACCAACATTACATGAACAAGGATTACAACATTTAAGACTCAAATGATCAATAAAATTTTTTTTTCTTCACGTCAAATTCAATATTTTCCATTTTTTCAATTTATATTATTTCATTTTTCAATTTTTTCATGAGATTTGTCAAATGATTGAAGTGTGAAGGTAATGTTTCTGGCAAAGAGAAATAATCCTAGACTTGGTCATAGACCTCGTGCCGGGCAACAGATTCCAGATAACAGATCCTGATCACGACTTTCATAGAAGTTTCAAAAAATGTTTTTTGTTTCATAAAGAAGATTGTTTTCTATCTGTTTTTCTATCATCTTGTTTTGTTTTCATTTCCATTTCATTCATGGATGTCTGTGACTTGTCGTGGGGGGGGTGTTGTGGTCACATGACTGACACGACTGCGGCACAGCCATTTCTCACGATCCATCTAACAAAACTCTTTCACGTTGTATCTGAAGTTCCACATCACTTGTGGAACCCAGTTTGTTGTTTCTTAAGCTTATGCGTCATTGTATTCCATGTTCTTCACTTTAAGAAGATGTTCTCTTCAATCATAGCTGTGTGACATGTGCAACCAACTGCAACCGACTGCGTACCTTCCAGAAAACCTGCAGTGATTTTCGCTCGCACATCATCACACATGACTCGAAAATCGAAATCGTCATTCGATGATCCCCCCAAGTGTGTCATCAACCCTCCACACGCATTTTTGAACATACTTCTGTGGTGCAAAGAAACGTGCGCATTCTTCTAAACGACTAAGGTATGGCTTTTGGGTTTGAGAAGATGTTAAAACTTCATAGGTTATAGAACGTTTGGTTGCGTGTATTTTTTTGGTGATTATTTTGAAGACATTGTAATAGTAAGGGCCCGATCGGTTGCCGTCAACCTCGCAGGCGTACGCCTTGCAAGCGTACGCTCGCGCATGCGCAGGTTGACGACGTCTGCCTCGCAGGTTGACTCAGAGATTGGGCTGCTTCAGTAGCCCAAAGTCGACCCCATGTACCCAAAGATCATGGTTTCATGAAG